AATAAATGGAAATTATTTTGTTCTGTTGTCTCCACTTATTATCCAACAAAGTATTGTGTTTTTATTGTTCTAAATCAGATTAAATAACAATTTGGTTACTTGGGCTTGATTCAGGGGACAAATAACTCGTCTCAAGCCGGCTCACAAGCGATTGATGGCAACAATGATGTCATGGAGTCGAGCGAGGAGAACGACACCACTGGGAATGTCGGTGATCAGATCGTTGACGCAGCAGCCAACCATGGCAGAAACTGATTGCTCAAACAACATGATAACATCAGACTGTAGGTGGTCTTCATACGCTCTTTTGTGGACTTGTGTATCCAGTATGGTTTAGGAATGAGAACTAACATCTGGTGGTAGTTGCAAGCCGGCGTATTTTGCTAGTATTGTTGTAGTTGGAAGGTCCTTTTGTGGATGGTACCATTGTAGCCTTGTAGTGTACTTTGTTGATCTATATGTATGGAACTAATGATGATATATGAAGTCTGATGTTGTCATATAAATCTATTCTCACATGGTCTCTGTGAAATAATGTAACATCTGTAGCATCTGGGTTAAGCACATTGCTTTTCCGGCAGGAATATGAAAAAAAACATCATGATGCAACAGTGACGGCCAACGGCTGACAGGAATGCACGAACGTTGCAGCTTTCCTAGCACAAATTCCTGTCGGCTGAACCTACAGGTATAAGTTGGTAGGAATGCCTCCTAGTACAAATTTCCTGGCGGCCTTTCCTGACAGGTGGTTGACAGGAATATGTATTTTCCGGGAGGCATAAATCTGACAGAGCATTTCTTTCGTGTGAGCCAACCGTCAGGAATAACCGACAGCAATATTATTCCTGTGGGCCGACCGGCAGGCATATTGTTTCATTCCTGGCAGGCTATGGCTGTCGGTTGTTCCTGTCGGTTGGCCGACAGGAATTATATTCCTGACGGCCAGTTTTATTTTCCTGACGGCTGTTGGCCCACACGCTTAGTCGCGTTTCTGGTAGTAATAGGTTACATCGTGTGTCTATCCCCGATATATATGAGAGGCCTAGGATACAGGTGTCCTATTAGGACACAACTCCTACCCTGTCTACACACAGTACGACTCCAAGTCCAACTGTAACCTAACTTGTACAATAATATTCGACACAACTCTAACATTGATCGATCCAAGGATGTTGCACTAGTCCAGGAGATCAAAATGCTAATCAGGGGTGATAGGAGGGTCCAGGTGAAGGCTATTAAACGTGAGAGAAATCAGGTTAGTCATGAGCTTGCTCGTATAGCTCGTACATGCATAAAAACTGCAGTTTGGCTGGGTTCTGGCCTTGAAGGGATTGTAAATCTTTGTGTACTGGATCAGCTTGATTCAGGTTGATTAATATAAATCCCTTTTCCCCGCAAGAAAAAAGAAGAGGATTGCTTACCACATGTGTCATGTGGTTTTCAAAGTACATGTAGGGATAGAGATAACAGCAAATCTTTTTGGTAACCTCTGATAAACCAGACCCAGCTCCAGTGACGCACATCCGTAGACGCATGCAGAGTCTGGTTTTTTCTGCAGGTGCATGCAACCCTAGTCGCCGCGCGTGGATCAGTTTTTTCAACGAAGAATCAATCGACCTATCTACTCTGAGATTCCTGGAACCGATCTATGGTTCTATACCCAAACATGTCCGTGCCACCAAGATGGCCCCAGGGTTTTGAATTTCGGCCGTAAAAAATGGATTTCGGCCGAATTTCGGCCATCTCGGCCTAGGACGAAATCTATCTTCCGCCGAAATTGGTCAAATTTGAGAAATTTTGGTCAATTTTAATCAAATTTCAGTTAAATTTTGGTCAAATTTCGGTCGAAATTTTTAAAAACGACCGAAATTCGGCCATCTCGGCCTAGGGCGAGAAAAATCACAAAACGAAAATCAAAACGCTGGATGGCCCGATCTGCCGCCTGAGCTGCTCGCCGTCGTCTCCGGTCGCCTGCACGACGCGGCTGACTTCATCCGCTTCCATGCCGTCTGCACGCGGTGGCGGGACTCGCTGCCCCAGACGACGGCGCTCCGCCCGGCCTTCTTTCCCTGGCTCATCGCCCCGCCGTCCGGCTATGGATGTTCGCACGTCAATCTCCGCTGCGTCTTCTCCAAGACAAGCTACCTCGCGGTCGCGGGCGCGCCAGCGACGTTCTCCAACCGCAGGTTGGTGACGCGAGCCGACGGCTCGGCGGCCTGGTTCTTCACCGTTGGCTCCAGACCTACACTCGTCGACCCTCTCGCAGGAGGGGTCACGGCCCTGCCGTCCTTCCCGGAGGACGACGAGAAGACCGCGCGGAGGATGGAGATCTCCCGCGGCATCATCTACGACGACGACACGGTCTTCCTCTGCAACTTCTCCTACTCCGAGGACCTCGATGAGGATGACGACGAGACAGAGCAACAAATCGACGTATGTTTCAACACGGCCGTCCTTCGTCCCGGAGATACCGCGTGGAAATTAGTCCACAGACCGTTGGAGGGGTACAACGAGGACGAGGTAGAGGGGGAGTACGAAATCTACGACAATCGTTTCCTGGCCGCATACCGTGTCGACGAGAGGAAGAAGACCCTGCTGTGCGTGGACGGGGAAGATCACAATGACACATGGGCATGGTACTTCCTTGCAGAGTGGGGACCTAGTGCCGAAACAGATGACACATACTTGACGGAAGAGGTCGACGCCACCGGCTGGTACGTCGAGTCCAGCCACAACCTTGAGTCCCGGGGCGAGCTGCTGCAGGTGACTGTCGTGGTCCGACAAGACAGGGGCTTCATATATCAGGGCGCAGCAGCCCAGGCGAGCGCGCTGGTGGTGTGGGTGCACGCGTGGGAGGAAGGGGCGGATGCAAACGGTGAACGAAGGTTTCGGTGGGTGAGGAAGGATGGTCGGAGCTTCGCAGACCGCGTGATGTTTTTGGGGTTCCCGACCAGCTTCGCCGTGGAAGCCACGAGGTTCCGGGGCGGGGAGGACGACGTGAGCGGCGGGTGCGTCTACTTGCTCCACCACAGAAGGTTGGAGTTGCATGGCTTGGCATCGCGTGGCGTGTTCAGGTACAATCTTCTCGACGGCATGGCTAAGTTCATTGAGCGCCTGCCTCTAGATCTGGAGTGGAGCGGCCAGAAAAATGAGGCATGCCTGTGGTTCATGCCCCAGCCTTCCATTGCTCCCATCCAGGTACTTATCGAACTCATCATTTCGTATGTTGGTACGTGATGGTACAACCCAACATGTAGAAAATAGTTACTATAATAATTTTAACTTTTACACATTACGGACAGCCCGGGTGGGCTCACTTATAGTATAGGTGTATCATATGTATGCATGTCATTGTCAAGTAGCCTGATAAACGACTCACTTGTTTTTCGCCAGGTAATCAGAGAAAGGCTAGTGGGGGCAGATCATCCAAATGTGAGAAGAATTAGCACTTGCCGCATGAATAGACAACCAAAACAGCCCAAGCCGCCCTTCTTCAGTTTCCTCGTGCAAAACCTACCTCCAGGCGCGGACAGCTCTCGGCTGTGCTCCTTCTTCGGTAAGCACGGCCAGGTTTCCGCCGCTGAGGTGATCTCACCAGGGACGGCACGTGTTACCATGTTCATGGAGACGGTGGACAGACTAGATGACGCCGAGGCCACCCTCGATGGGCTGGTCTTGGATGGATGCACCCTGACGGTGAAGTGGTGAAGACAAAAGGCGCCATTTGCCAATGTCCAAATGGCCACCTACACATTAAGAGCAAGTACATTTTTTTGTAAAGGCATCATTCTCTTAAATTAATCTTCACACCATCTTGATATTACAATTAACATCATCTTTTAGTGTTATATCCAGTTCAGGTTTCTTCATTAGCCGCAAGCTTGATGTGCCTCGCCCAGGACCTCTTTTGTTTCTATGACCGAGGACGAGGAGGGGCCCATGTTATTCTCAAACATGAAGAAACCTGAACTTGGGGTGCTCTAGTTATTTCTTAGCATTCGCATCTTATTTCACCAGGAGTACTTGGTCCTACATGATTGATGTAGACTTCCCCTCGGCATACATGATTGATGGTAGTTCTTCATTGTGCATTTTGACACAACACGCGCGGAGATATACAAAATTATATGGCGCGTGTTAGGCTCTAGCCAGCTGATCCGCGCGTGAGATAAGCCGCATGGACTTCCCGCAAAAAGTTATGGTAGAGCGTGTTATGAGTGTCCATTTTGCACAGAAACACACACAAAAGAAACCTTATCCAAGCGTTGCAACAATATTTACTCCTACTATGTATGACAAAAGAATATACATAAAACATGAAAAAATAAATTAGATCTTTTGCAGAAACCGTAGTAGTGTTGTGGTAGAGTCACACCATTTTTTAAGATTGATCTTGTTTTATCGATCTCGTCGGCAGGAATTCAAATATATAAAATATTTTAAAATACTGTTTTTTTAAAAGAGATATCGATGAATTAATATCTCTCGAGCCAATAAATTGCTAGGTTTTCTAATGCTGACATAGCACTATTCCCCTGCTAATGCTGGCATAGAATTCTGTAGCATATCTGACAAGTTAGATGGGTATTGTAGAGTGCAATGTTAAGAAGAAGCATTCGAATATTTTCTGCTGCATTTCGAGCGGGCATCTCGGCGCCGGAATGAACGCATGTACTGAAGGTTCCGTGCAGCATAGATTTTCCACTTTGGACGTACTCCCTCTGTTCCAAATTACTTGACCTCCATTTGTCTAGACACGGATGTATCTAGACATTCGTATCTAGACAAATGGAGGTCAAGTAATTTGGAACGGAGGGAGTACATACTTGAGCGGTTCAACATTTTGTAAACTACTACGTGGGCAAGAGGCCAGGAAGCAACCTATGCCGTGCCGGTGCCTGGTTGTTCTAGGATTATCATCATCATACATAATTGATAGGTAGATACATGGATCTGCTTGGTCCTTTTTGGTGTAGGGCTGCTTTACGAGAGTTTTTAGCCTAGGATAGGATGGGAGGGGTGCAGTAGGGTCCCCTGAGCAGTGCCCCGGCGATCACCTTGTTAGCCGCCTCCGTAGGGTGGATGCCGTCCCAGCTGAGCCGCGCCGACGGGTGGCGGCACGCCACCGTGGCCCCGTCCATGCCGCACCTCGCGCTCAGGTCGAAGTTGTACTTGCCCCCTCCCACCCCGCAGCAGGCCTCAAACGGAGCGCTAAACCCTAGCGCGCCAAGCCAAGCAATCACGTACTCAGCTTGTTGAATTGTTCAAGCTAGAGCTAGAGAAAGGAAGAGAACTTAGTAGGTACTACCAAACTTGTGGGGCTCCTGGACCATCTGGTACACGAGGCCGTAGTAGTCCGCGTACATGAGCCTCGTCGAGTTGTGGTGCCTCCGCTGGAGGGCCTCCACCTGCTTCCGGAGCATCCAGTTGTGGTACTTGCTCAGGAGGTTGTAGGCCTTGAGGCAGCCGGGCGTCGTCCAGGTCGCCGTCGCCGTCGCCGTCCCCGAACAAGGACAGGAAGATCGGCAAGCAGCCGGTCGGGAAGATTCCCGGGACGACGACGTGGACGGCGCCCAGAGCAATCAGTTTCTGCACAAAAATAATTCGCCTTGAGTCTTAATTTCTTGGCTAGCTGGAACATACTATATGCATGCAAAATTAATTTGCTGTCAATGGCATAGAAATACCTCCACGCCGTCGGCGATGGCACCGACGATCTTTGGGGTGTAGTTCATTGCCTGCTCCGGTGTCAAACCGCGTTCAAGCAGCTGCACGTTGTAGTCGTTCCCGCCGTATGCACCGAACATGAAGAGCGATTTCCTCATGTATCCTTTGCAACCTAGTTAGTACATGCATGCAACACGTTTTTTCCTTTACCGTTCGGCATGAATTCATGATGAGCCTTTTTAAACGGCCGGGTTAAATTAAAATATCGATTTGTTCAGAATAGGTGCGTGCTCACTCTGCTCTGTCCCGCATATGGAGGGCAACAAGTCCTTGAACCATTGGATCTGCGTGTCTAGTGAGCCATGGTTCCACACCGGATTTTCAATGCCCAGAGATCTGTAGAAGGTGAAGTTCATGGCCGTGCCACCGGTGATGGCCATGTTTACGCCCCGACGGAAATCTTTGCCTTTCGCTTTCGACGGTGGGAGTAATGGAAGCCCAAGTGCTTGTGCTGGCATCCATGCATGGACACAAATAAAATTCAAGTTATAACAAACTTGTGTCTCAGTTGACGTGAAAGTAGATCAAACATTGAAACAAAATATCTCAACATAATGGTCACACTTTTCTTGCAGGAAATGAATTGTTTCTTATGCTAATTTTTGGGTTTAAAAAGACAAAAAAATCATTCATTTCCTTCATTTTATTGGTTGGTGAAAACAAATTGTTTTCCGGGATTGTAAGGCATTGTAGCAATTATTGTAGAAACTCTTTTTTGGCATTTATTTCCAAATGTAGTACGTGCATCTCTTAGTTAGTTAAACTACAAGATGCACCTAGTGGAAAAATGGTTTTGCTTCTTTTTTTTACACGCTTTCAACCAAACCTTTTAAACTTGGTCCAAAGTAGCCAGGTTTGTATGATTTATGATACCCATAAATATATATTATTATACTATTTACAGAGAAATCATTGTGAACTAAGAAAAATGACCAGAAATTTCAAAAAAAAGTGTTCACTTATAAAAATGCTTACAAATTTTAAAAATGGTCACAATTTTTATAAAAGAATGATGAATTAATAAACATGTTCATGATTTTATAAAAATATTTGTGAATTTGGAAAATACTCATGAATTTTAAAAATGCCCATAAATTTCAGTCATTACTCGACGTATGTAATGTTAATTGATCGATGCGTAGCATATGCCCCATAGTTATTTCTCAACTGAACTGATACAGAAATACTAGCAAACCTCATATGTTGAGGAAAAAATATGTATGCTTTGGAAAACTTGCGTAAAAACGGATTGAATTACCAACAAAATCAACAACCACGCGGCCGTCGCACCACCGGCAAGACGGCCTTCCGAAGTAGGTCTCGCCGTACGGCGGGTGGGTGCAGGTGAGCACGTTCAACTCCGTCTTGTTGCTGCTGGCGACGCATATGTTGCCTGTCTCATCCATCGAGTCACCGAAGGTGAACATGGCATTGTATTTCTTCGGTGCCGCCGCCGTCGACGATGTAGTAGTAGTACTGCTGCCGCCACCACTGGCCACCACCACCACCGTGATCAGTTGGATGACTAAGGAAGCCATGAGCAGCGATGACCCTGAGAATAAGCTTGGGAGTTTCATGGTGACCTGAAAATATTTCGCTCGGACTTGTTAAACTTAGTTGATGGTGATCTAATGGCGGCAATCGAGGTTGGCCGATATATATATATAGACACTGCCGACTGTTGTCCTTGCTAAATTAATGCTGAACAGTTGGCCGTCAATAAAGTGTCCAGAGTGGTTGGATTGCAACACAACATCGAGGCTCTATCATAACACCTTGCTCATTGGCACCATCAATTGAGCAGCGAGAGTGGTTGGATTTCAACATCACTACTCCCTCCATCTAGGTGAGTAAGATGTTTAGGCGCCGTTCATTAACTTTTCATCTCGATGCCCGCCCTGCCTTGTTCGCCAGCGAGCGCTTTCACCTCTGCCTCGTTGTCTCCCGTGGAAACCCCTTTTCTCCCTTTTTTTTCTCGGACAAAGACCAATGCATGCAGCACGTCCATAGGTTATTAGGCAAGAAATAAAAACGCTTTGCATGCTATGAATTACGAGGGTCTGCATGGGTAGCTAATAAGGCATCCTCTTAACTGTTGTGTTTAGAAGAGAGAACTATTCTTCTTTTCCCCCAATCTACTTGCACCTAGGACGTGATGCACCTTCTAATATGACTTATTCACCTAGACAGAGGGAGTAAAAGGATTGGCCGCTTTAAAACATGGTTAATGATACAACCAACGGCCGGCTATAAGAAGTTGTCATGTCATCTACAACCAACCTTTTAGCTGGCGCGTATAATAGTAAGTTTTAAATATGTACTAATTTATCAATAGTTGGCCCACCTTACATCCTTACAAAGTGTCTTAGGTCTCGTGTTGCAGCTGGCTACTAATCAAGAACCCGCTTCTCTTCTCTCTCCTCTTTTCTTTCCTCCACCTAATCACAGATATATTATTCTATTCCTTATAGCATGCTTATGTCACCCTATTGTACTTGTTTTTACTGCGCCGTTCGTGTTGTTGAGTTTCTTAAAAAAGTAATCACTCTGTTTTAAAATATATGGTGTATTACTTTTTTGAAAAGGTAAATTTTTTAAGTTTGATTAAATTTGTAGAGAAATATATCAAAATCCATAATATTAAATCGGTATTTGAAGATTCACCATGAAATGAATTTCCATACTTTTTTGTTTAATATTGTGATGTCGATATTTTTACTTTGAACTTGGTCAAACTTAAAGAGATTTCACTTTCTAAAAGACTAATACCCCTTATATTTTTGAGCTGATGGAATATTTAGTTTGGCAAGTGGGGAGATGATACAGTGTGTTTTATTTTTATTTATAATGCATTGATTTGGTGGGTCTTTTGTGGTGTGATTCTGTGTTATCCGTTAACCAACTTATATTTATGTATGGAATTTTGTGTCAGTGGTTGCGTATACTACATTGGTGCTACAATATCACATGGTGGCATTTCTTTTTTCTAGGTGGTGGGAGGGTGCGTTGTATTAATATGTTTCTATAGGCCGGCTGCTGCTGATTAATTTGAAAAATCGTTGGCCCAGTCAAAATCATAAACCAAATTCCAAATTGAATACTCAATTGAATGAAAAAGTTTCAATATTAGGGAATATAATTAATGAATTAAAAGAATTGAATGGGAGAGTCTGAGAAATTGTTGACCCGGTCAAAATCGGATGGCCCAATTCTAAATTGAATAAACTAATTGTGAATTTTTAAAAATTAGGAAGCATAATGTATAGTATAAAAGAACTGAACGAGAGAGCTGTGAGAAATTGTTAACCTGGTCAAAATCGGATGACTCAAGTCTAATTAGAGACCTCAATTAAATGTGGGCTCTTTAAAATTAAGGAGCTTAGTGTTATAGAGGATACACTGCCCGTCAAAGATCTCCTCTATGCCGCTCGGTCCTCCTTCTCTTCCCCGTTCGGCGGCCTTGTAGGCAGCAAGAGG